TAAATCTGAAGCTTCTCCTACCATTCATCTATTGATAAGGGTCATAAATTCGGTAAGCCATGAGAAATCGCTTTTTTTTTTTTGAATTCAAAGTTTCTTCAGCTATTCATCTTTTGATAAGGGTTATAAGTTTCAGTAACAATTTCTCATGGCTTTTTTTTCTTTAAATTCAAAGCTTCTCTAACCATTTATCTTTTTGTTAAGGGTCATAAATTTCGATAAGCTATGAGAATTCACTTTTTTTTCTTTGAATTCGAAGTTTCTCCTGCCATTTATCTTTTTGTTAAGGGTCATAAGTTTTGGTAATAATTTTTCATGGCTTTTTTTTCTTTAAATCCGAAGCTTCTCTAGCTATTTATCTTTTTGATAAAGGTTATAAATTTCGGTAAGCCATGAGAAATCACTTTTTTTTCTTTAAATTCGAAGTTTCTTCAGCTATTTGTCTTTTGATAAGGGTCATAAGTATTGGTAACAATTTCTCATAGCTTTTTTTTTTTTAAATCTGAAGCTTCTCCAGCCAATCATCTTTTTGATAAGGGTCATAAATTCGGTAAGCCATGAGAAAACGCTTTTTTTTTTTTAAATTTGAAGTTTCTCCAGCCATTCGTCTTTTGATAAGGGTTATAAGTTTCGGTAATAATTTCTCATAGCTTTTTTTTCTTTAAATCTGAAGCTTCTCCAGCCATTCATCTTTTTGTTAAGGGTTATAAATTTCGGTAAGCTATGAGAAATCACTTTTTTTTCTTTGAATTCGAAGTTTTTTCAGCTATTTGTCTTTTGATAAGGGTCATAAGTTTTGGTAACAATTTCTCATAGCTTTTTTTTCTTTAAATTCGAAGCTTCTCCGGCCATTCATCTTTTTGATAAGAGTCATAAATTCTGGTAAGCTATGAGAATTCACTTTTTTTTTTTCTTTGAATCCAAAGTTTCTCCAGCCATTCATCTTTTTGATAAGGGTCATAAGTTTCAGTAACAATTCTCATTAGCTTTTTTTTTCTTCGAATTTGAAGCTTCTCCAACTATTCATATTTCTGATTAGGGGTTTTAATTTCAGTAAACCATGAGAATTCACTTTTTTTTCTTTGAATTCGAAGCTTCTCCAGACATTCGTCTTTTTGATAAGGGTTATAAGTTTCAGTAATAATTTCTCATTGCTTTTTTTTTTTTTAAATCCGAAGCTTCTCCAGCCATTCATCTTTTTATTAAGGGTCATAAATTTCGGTAAGCCATGAGAATTCGCTTTTTTTTTTCTTTGAATTTGAAGTTTCTCTAGCCATTCATCTTTTGATAAAGATTATAAGTTTCAGTAACAATTTCTCATGGCTTTTTTTTCTTTAAATTCGAAGCTTCTTCAGCTATTCATCTTTTTGATAAGAGTCATAAATTCTGGTAAGCCATGAGAATTTGCTTTTTTTTTCTTTAAATCTGAAGTTTCTCCAACCATTTATCTTTTTGATAAAGGTCATAAGTTTTGGTAACAATTCTCATTGGCTTTTTTTTTCTTCGAATTCAAAGCTTCTTCAACTATTCATATTTCTGATTAGGGGTTTTAATTTCGGTAAGCCATAAAAATTCACTTTTTATTCTTTGAATCTGAAGCTTCTCCAGACATTTATCTTTTTGATAAGGGTTATAAGTTTCAGTAATAATTTCCCATGGCTTTTTTTTTTTTTAAATCTGAAGCTTCTCCAGCCATTCATCTTTTTATTAAAGGTTATAAATTTCAGTAAGCCATGAGAATTTGCTTTTTTTTCTTTGAATTCGAAGCTTCTTCAGCCATTCATTTTTGATAAGGGATTATAAGCCCAGCAACAATTTCTCTCTTTAAATTCGAAGCTTCTCCAGCTATTCATCTTTTGATAAGGGTTATAAGTTTCGGTAACAATTTCTCATGACTTTTTTTTCTTTAAATCTGAAGCTTCTTCTACTATTCATCTATTGATAAGGGTCATAAATTTGATAAGCCATGAGAAATCACTTTTTTTTCTTTGAATTTAAAGTTTCTTCAGCTATTCATCTTTTGATAAAGGTTATAAATTTCAGTAACAATTTCTCATAGCTTTTTTTTCTTTAAATCCGAAGCTTCTCTAGCCATTCATTTTTTTGATAAGGGTTATAAATTTCTGTAAGCTATGAGAATTCGCTTTTTTTTTTTTAAATTTGAAGTTTCTCCAGCTATTCGTCTTTTGATAAGGGGTCATAAGTTTCGGTAACAATTTCTCATGACTTTTTTTTCTTTAAATTCGAAGCTTCTCCAGCCAATCATCTTTTTGATAAGGGTCATAAATTCTGGTAAGCCATGAGAATTCACTTTTTTTTCTTCGAATTCGAAGTTTCTCCTGCCATTAATCTTTTTGTTAAGGGTTATAAGTTTCAGTAATAATTTCTCATGGCTTTTTTTTCTTTAAATCTGAAGCTTTTCCAGCCATTCATCTTTTTGTTAAGGGTTATAAATTTTGGTAAGCCATGAGAAATTACTTTTTTTTTTTAAATTCGAAGTTTCTCCAGCTATTCGTCTTTTGATAAGAGGTCATAAGTTTCGGTAACAATTTCTCATAGCTTTTTTTTCTTTAAATCCGAAGCTTCTCTAGCCAATCATTTTTTTGATAAGGGTTGTAAAATCTGGTAAGCCATAAGAAATTGCTTTTTTTCTTTGAATTCAAAGTTTCTTCAGCTATTCGTCTTTTGATAAAGGTCATAAGTTTTGGTAACAATTTCTCATAGCTTTTTTTTCTTTAAATTCAAAGCTTCTCCAGCCAATCATCTTTTTGATAAAGGTTATAAATTTCTGTAAACAATGAGAATTCGCTTTTTTTTTTTAAATTCGAAGTTTCTCCAGCCATTCGTCTTTTGATAAGGGGTTATAAGTTTTGGTAATAATTTCTCATAGCTTTTTTTTCTTTAAATTCAAAGCTTCTCCTACCATTCATCTATTAATAAGGGTCATTAATTCAGTAAGCCATAAGAATTTGCTTTTTTTTTTCTTTGAATCCGAACTTCTCCAGCCATTCATTTTTTTTGATAAGGGTCATAAGTTTCAGTAACAATTCTCATAGCTTTTTTTTCTTCAAATCTGAAGCTTCTTCTATCATTTATCTATTGATAAGAAGTTATAATTCCAGTAAGCCATGAGAATTCACTTTTTTTTGAATCTGAAGCTTCTCTGATTATTCACCTTTTGATTAGAGGTTATAAAATTAGATAAACATTCTCGTAGTTTTTTATTTGAATCAGAGTTAAATTTAGTTAGGGTTTAAGTTATCTTTTAGATGCAATTAGGAAGGTTTTATATATATATATGTAAAAATGCAATTTATACAATATGTAAATCATAGCCAATGATTTTATATATTAATATTAGTATATACAGATGCATACTTAAAAACCAATACGTTTACATATATATTTATTATTATTATTATTATTGTATGTATATATTTAATTTATATAAATAAATATGTAATATTAGAAAAATTATAAATAAAGAAAAAATTAATAATTAATTATATAATATATAAATAATAAATATACAAATTTATTCAGAATCAGGATACGCTATAGTTTTTAAAGCATTAATAAAACCACCCCATAAATTATTTCTATATTTTTTTCTCTATTTAAATTCAGTAAGATGACTAGAAACTTCATTCTTGGTTCTATTACGGGGTGGGATCCTTAGTTTTAAACCATTTCATAGGCCTTTGATAGTATTGGTATGAACTCCAGTTATAGAATTAACAAAGTTTACTGAATGATTTATCGTATTATGAGTTATATTTAAGTTATCAACTTCCAGATATCCACGCTAGCAATCTGTATATACAATAGAACCTATCAGAACATGTCTGGATATTACCTTAAGTAATGTTTCGGCAATTCTATTTCAACAAAGCACTTTTTTTCTTAGTTCGCTTAACTCCACCAATAACCCAAACTCCCTCAACTTGATGACCCCTGTAATACTTTCTTTTACCTAATTTAGTCTTATCAATTTCAACAATTATATTAGGTCCACCAATCATATTATTATCATCTTCCAATGTACTAGTAACTAGCTCTCTAAATAAACTTAAATAGTTTGTAATAGTAGCTGACAAATGACTTGTCATACTCGTGTGTATAACTTTGCATAACCAAAGATAACCAATTAACATAGTATCAGAACATTTTAAACGGTTTTTTGAAAAAAAAAAATCTTTTAATATAGAAAAAGATTTATAACATTCACAATTAACACATTGAAAAAGTTTTTGTTTTTTTAAGTAAAGCAAAGCATTATAAATAGAACAATTTTGAGGTCTATATAATATATTTTTACTAAATAAAAATTCTATATATCTGTCTTCATCAAAAAAAGGGCTTGATGAGACTTTAAGGTCAGAAATAAACTATATTAAACATGTTTGAAGCTTTTTTACTTTGCTCAAAGAAATTTCAACACATATATATTAAAAAAAAATAATGCAAGCAATGCATAGCATAAATTTATACTGGTAAAGATATCATTGTTAAAAAAAAATCAATGCATAAATTTATGATCAAAAATTAACGCATTCATTATCAAAAAATCAATGCATAAAAGAATCAGTTAATATTAAAAAAAAGATTAGTGCATAAATTCACAATTAAAAATCAACATATTAATTAATGCAACTGAAATGCCTAAAAGCTGTAACTAAAAAATTTAATGATGCTAGTGATTCAAACCAATTAATTGATACCTATGATTAAATGGGTAACTAAAAGTTTCAAACTTCAAATTCCAAGAAAAAAAAAGCTAAAGAAATGATTATTGGAGTTTGAGAATTGTTACCAAAACTTATGACCCTTATCAAAAGATGAGAAACTTCAGATTCAAAGAAAAAAAAAAGCAAATTCTCATGGCTTACCGATTTTACAACTCTTATTAAAAATATGATTGGCTGGAGAAGCTTCAGATTTAAAGAAAAAAAGCTATGAGAAATTGTTACTGAAACTTATGACCCCTTATCAAAAGACGAATGGCTAGAGAAACTTTGAATTCAAAGAAAAAAAGCGAATTCTCATGGCTTACCAAAATTATGACCCTTAACAAAAAGATGATTGACTGGAGAAGCTTTGGATTCAAAGAAAAAAAAGTGAATTCTCATGGCTTACTGAAATTTATAACCCTTAACAAAAAGATGAATGGTTGGAGAAGCTTCGAATTTAAAGAAAAAAAAGCTGTGAGAAATTATTGCCGAAACTTATAACTCTTAACAAAAAGATAAATGGCTGAAGAAACTTCAGATTCAAAGAAAAAAAAAAGCGAATTCTCATAGCTTACTGAAATTTATGACCCTTATCAAAAAGATGAATGACAGGAGAATATTCAAATTTAAAAAAAAAAGCCAATGAGAAATTGTTACCAAAACTTATGACCCCTTATCAAAAGACGAATGACTGGAGAAACTTCGAATTCAAAGAAAAAAAGCGATTTCTCATGGCTTACCGAAATTTATGACCCTTAACAAAAAGATAAATGGATGGAGAAGCTTCGGATTTAAAGAAAAAAAAGCCATGAGAAATTATTACTGAAACTTATAACTCTTATCAAAAAAACAAATGTCTGGAGAAGCTTCAGATTCAAAGAAAAAAAGTGAATTCTCATGGCTTACTAAAATTAAAACCTCTAATCAGAAATATAAATAGTTGGAGAAGCTTCGAATTCAAAGAAAAAAAAAGCCAATAAAAATTGTTACCGAAACTTATAACCCTTATTAAAAAGATGAATGGCTGGAGAAACTTCAGATTCAAAGAAGAAAAAAAAGTGAATTCTCATGGCTTACCAGAATTTATGACCTTATCAGAAAGATGAATGGCCGAGAAGCTTTGAATTTAAAGAAAAAAAAGCTATAAGAAATTGTTACCGAAACTTATGACCCTTATCAAAAGACGAATAGCTGAAGAAACTTCGAATTCAAAAAAAAAAAGTGATTTCCATGGCTTACCGAAATTTATAACCCTTAACAAAAAGATGAATAGCTGGAGAAGCTTCGGATTTAAAGAAAAAAAATGCTATGAGAAATTATTACCGAAACTTATAACCCTTATCAAAAGACGAATGGCTAGAAAAACTTCGAATTCAAAGAAAAAAAAGCAAATTCTCATGGCTTACCGAATTTATGTCCCTTATCAAAAAGATAATTGGCTAGAAAAGCTTCGGATTTTAAAAAAAAAAGTCATGAGAAATTATTACTAAAACTTATAACCCTTATCAAAAGACGAATAGCTGAAGAAACTTCGAATTCAAAGAAAAAAAAGCGATTTCTCGTGGCTTACCGAATTTATAACCCTTATCAATAGATGAATAGTAGAAGAAGCTTCAGATTTAAAGAAAAAAAAGCCATGAGAAATTGTTACCGAAACTTATGACCCTTATCAAAAGACGAATAGCTGAAAAAACTTTGAATTCAAAGAAAAAAAAGCAAATTCTCATGGCTTACCGAAATTTATAACCCTTAAAAAAAGATAAATAGCTGGAGAAGCTTCAGATTTAAAGAAAAAAAAGCTATGAGAAATTATTACTGAAACTTATAACCCTTATTAAAAAGATAAATATCTGGAGAAGCTTCGGATTCAAAAAAAAAAAGTGAATTCTCATAGCTTACTGAAAATAAAACTCCTAATCAGAAATATGAATGGTTGGAGAAGCTTCGAATTCGAAGAAAAAAAAAGCCAATGAGAATTGTTACCGAAACTTATGACCCTTATCAAAAAGATGAATGGCTTGAGAAACTTCAGATTCAAAGAAAAAAAAGCAAATTCTTATAGCTTACCAGAATTTATGACCATTATCAAAAAGATGAATGGCCAGAGAAGCTTCGAATTTAAAAAAAAAAAGCTATAAGAAATTGTTACCGAAACTTATAACTCTTATCAAAAGACGAATAGCTAAAGAAACTTCGAATTTAAAGAAAAAAAGTGATTTCTCATGGCTTACCGAATTTATGACCCTTATCAATAGATGAATGGTAGAAGAAGCTTCAGATTTAAAGAAAAAAAAGCTATGAGAAATTGTTACTAAAACTTATAACCCTTATCAAAAGACGAATAGCAGGAGAAACTTCAAATTCAAAGAAAAAAAAAAGCGATTTCTTATGGCTTACTGAAATTTATAACCCTTATCAAAAAGATAAATGGCTGGAAAAGCTTTGAATTTAAAGAAAAAAAAGCTATAAGAAATTATTACTGAAACTTATGACCTTTATCAAAAGATGAATGGCTGGAGAAACTTTGAATTCGAAAAAAAAAGCGATTTCTCATAGCTTACCGAAATTTATAACCCTTATCAAAAAAATAAATTGCTAGAGAAGCTTCAGATTTAAAGAAAAAAAAGCTATGAGAAATTATTACCGAAACTTATGACCCTTAACAAAAAGATGAATGTCTGGAGAAGCTTCAGATTCAAAAAAAAAAAGCGAATTCTCATGGCTTACTGGATTTTACAACCCTTATCAAAAAGATGATTGGCTGGAGAAGCTTTGAATTTAAAGAAAAAAAAAGCTATAAGAAATTGTTACCAAAACTTATGACCTTTACCAAAAGGACGAATGGCTGGAGAAGCTTCGAATTCAAAGAAAAAAAGCAATTTCTCATGGCTTACCAAATTTATAACCCTTATCAAAAAGATGATTGGCTGGAGAAGCTTCGAGTTCAAAGAAAAAAAAATTGGTACAGAATTTATGACAATGAATGGTTAGAGAAGCTTCGGGTTCAAAGAAAAAGATCATAAGCTAGAAAAAAAAATTTAAAGTTAATACGTATCTAATTTGTGATTGTGTAATGCCAATTAACTCTGAGATAATTATTTAACTTATATAGACAAATTTAGTGTCACTGTGAGTTTAATTGTGTAATTGCCAATCAGCTTGAGTTAATTATTTAACTCAAATAGCCAAATTTAGAGTTTGTAATTGTGTAATTGCCGATCAGTGTAGAGTTAATACATTTTGGAGCTTTTCCACCTCTACTAAAGATCAACCCTAGTTAACGTTCCCACCTATACTAAATGAGATCCACCTTTTTAAACTATATTCAATTTGAAGAGTTTTAATATAAGTCCATTTTTATATAACCTGAACTATTAAATTTTAAACTATAAAAATATAAATAACTACTTTAAATTCTATTTATTAAAGAATTTTGAAACATAGTAAACCATAGTGCTTTAGCCTTCTTAGAATATGGAAAACTAGTTAAAGTACTTCAGCCTACCTAGAGAATTTTAAAATATAATAAACTAGTTAGGTGCTTAAACCTATCTAGAGAATTTTAAAATGTAAAAAACTAATTAGTGCACTTCAGTTTATCTGAAGAATTTTAAAACATGAGAAACTAGTAAAGTTCTTTAGCCTACTTAAAAAATTTTAAAACGTAAGAAACTAATTATTATACTTTGGCCTACCCAGAGAATTTTAAAATATAAAAAATTATTTAAATTGCTTTGGCCTACTCAGAAAATTTAAAATATAAAAAACTAGCTGATGTACTTTAGCCTACAAGTAGAATTTTTAATACGTAAAGAACTAGTTAGAATGCTTTGGCAGCCCAAAGAATTTTAAAGTATGAGAAATAAACTAAAAAATATGCTAATGAGTAAAGAATTATATCCTGCTAAATAACCAAAATAACCAAAATAAGCTATCAAATTTTGCCAAATAACCAAAATAAGCTATTGATTTCTGCTAAATAACCAAAATAGACTTTTTTTTGCTAAATAGCCAGAGTTAATTGGCAGCCTGATCATAGTAATCTGATAGATAAAAAAATTTTACTGAGTTTAATCAACTTGTTATTAAGAAATCTTTGCTAGAATCAAAACTATTTTTCAAAATCTTTAATATTTTGATTATTTTGATTAGATGTTACATCACATAAATAAAAATTTTTTAGTTGTCTAGCTACTAAGGTTTGCAATTTATTATTACTTGTGTAGCACAAGTAAATAGGTCCATATATATGTATTGTATTTTGAGAAGGTTTCATTTGAGAGACTTCATTTAAAAAGGTAGTAATTGAACTTATCAATCATAACTCAAATAATTCAAGTTTATCATGATTTTATAAGTCTGCAAATAAGGTCTAATACCCAAAACTGCTTTTATATTTTAATTTAAAATTTTGTAATTTGAATATTTCAAATAAGTTAATATCAATTACTTGATTCTTTTATTCTTTTGCTAGTTTCTATAAAGAGGTCTGCTGTATTATTTTGCAAAGAAGTTTGTAATTAGACAAAGCAATATATATTTTTTTTCCTTTATAACCTCGCACTAATTTATTAGAACTTTTGTAATTTACAAAATTAACTATCTAATTTACATATTAGGCAAATACCCAGCTGCTATAAAGTGCCCAAGTATGGTTACTACACTAATATTTGCCAACAAGCTCTACATACAGTACTACTCGTATTTAAAAACCTGCTATAGCTTGGTACTCAGCTACCTAAGTTCAAACTGATTATATCTTGCCTTCCTTCTAGACTTATTCCACCAATGTTCAGGCAGAATATATTTTCTCCTACTTCTGCATAGTACAAACATATATGCCAAATTACAAAAGAAAAACTTCTTTTAAGAGCCGAACCCTTCTTTCAAACTATCTCACCTTAAATTTTTGTAATATCTTCCCGAGCTCAATCTACTTAAATCCCAGCAGATTATAAATATTATCTCCTACTTCTACATATGACTAACATATATGCCAACATTATGAAGGAAGATATATTTAAAGTAAATCTCTAAAAGCTCCCTATAACTGAAAAAAATAAAAATTGGTTTAAAAAAGAAAACAAAACTCAAAAGAGAAAATGAAACAATAAGAAAAAAAAAAAAGGGAAACCTAAACCGATTCTAATATAAATGAAAATAGATGAAACAAGCAGAAAAAAGAAAAAATTAAGCAATCCTAATGCACTATTATAATCTGTGCCTAGTGATTTAAAAATTATATACCAGATGCAACATCTGTATATCTCTGTTGTAAGTCTAAGCTTAATCTTAAAATTCTCTCTGACCCATTTCTGAATCTTTTTAATAACCTAGTTTGTATTTCAAACCAAGTGCTGCCGCAGTACTAGGATCTGACTCTCTATATATGGTGCCAATGGTGACAAGGACGTGACATTTCCATAAAGGTGCCATCACTCGAGTACTCGTATTTCAAGCCACTTGGTGCCACCACCAGGGATTCCTTTTTAACTAGGACTCATTCTAGGTCCCGAGACTGTATTTGTCTCTAAACATGTGGTTGCTATCTATCAGTCCATCCAGATTTAATAAGTAAACAATGCTGATCTTTTGAAGGAGTAAACCAAATTCCCACTTTTTATGAAAAATTTTTGAAGACTGATGGAAAAACGACGAGAGGTAAAGAGGGGCTATTTGAGCTTCAAACCAATTTAAAGGAGTGTGAGTTTTCTTTTCTACAGTCAAGACCTACTACCTAAACACCTGCTTAACCTTTTTTCAGTGAGTGATAAACTCTAAGCTTGTTAGCAGATAGCGTATAAGAACTACTTCTAAATGACAAGTGCTGAGACTATGCAGTGAGTGATAAACTCTAAGTCTGTTAGCAAGTAGTGTATGAGAACTACTTCTAAACAACAGATGCTAACTTATTGTCTAGTATGTCAAGTACCGGCTTGTAAGGTCTCTTTTTGCAGTAAAATGTTTTTTCGGAAAATATGGTTCAAGTAATCGTTAGAAAGAGTTCTTAGACAAAGCAATATTAAAAAGTTTTGTTAAATTAAATATATTATAATATAGTATACTTGCTAGTAAAACTATTGTGATTTGGGATTTAAAATTGAGATTTGAAATTAATTATATTTAAAATGAGATTTGGGCTTTGGGATTTGAAACAATTTTATTATATTTGGGATTTAGATGAGATTTTGAAATTTTTAGTTTTGCCAATATGTATATAATATGGTTATATAATGTATATAAAAGAATTGATATATTTAGAGAATTTAAATTTATTCCTTATATTATTATCTTGTAGCATATCAGATTAAGAAAGCTTATCGTAAGGCCATTTGAAGTTAACTTTTTGGTTAACATCACCCCTCTCCTCTATCCTTTGATATTCTCAGTAAAATGAACATATATATATAAAAAATACCAGGTAACACAATGAGGTAGAGTTTCGAATTTTAGCCAAAATTAAGCTTAATTTAGGCTAAAATTAGAAATAGCTCTCTATGTGCTATTTTTTAGTTATACGGCAAATATAAAATAAAAAATAATTAAAATAAAATAAAATAATTTAAAATTAAATTAAGAACTTTGCTATTTACTACCAGTGTTGCTATATCTCAAAAATGTACTAAGTAAACAGGATCAGGTACTCTAAGTAAAAATGTTCAGGATCTCCAAAAACCTTATAAAAACTAAGATTGGGCTCTATCAGGCCCTTATAGTAACTCTATATTATATTATAAAAAAAACAATAATTCTCTAATTTCTAACTCTAACCCTAACAAATCTTAGAACTAGTAGTGACTACTACTGTAGTATATAGTAATTTTCTTAAATTAAATAATATAAAATAAATAATTTATAATAAAATAATTTAAATAAAATAATATAAAATAAAATAAAATAAAAAAACTCTTCTCGATGATTACTTGAATCAATTTTCTCAACCAAAGAAAAATTAAAACTCTGTTGAAGAGTTGAGTAGACTACAGTAGCAGTTTGTAGTAAAAGAGGTTAACTAGCTCTAGAAACTCCTTGCTATGTTTGGCATGCAAGCCAGAAGCCTAGTCAAGAGAAAAAGGCAGGTGGCATTTTTGGCAAGCACTATAGATTCTGGTAAACAAAGTTCTGTTGATGAAGCTCTGTAGACTATAGTTCTAAAAGATTTTAGTAGTGGTTTTTAGAAAAACAAAGGTCAATTTGGTTTGGAGAAATCCACTCTATATTTGGCATGCAAGCTAGAAACAACATATATAAAAGAGGAAAAAGCAGATAGTACTCTTAACTATTAAACAAAAGAGATATACAAATGTTGTATTTGGTATATAATTTTTATCAGCCTCGCATGAGTTATAATTGTGCTTTTAGGGTTTTAGATTTCTTTTTATGTTTTTTCTTTTTTTGCAATTAGTGTTTCTTTTTTCTTTTCTGTTTTTTCTTTTTTCTAGTCATTTTCATTATTCTTTGTTAGAAAACTTCACCCTTTTGTCCTGTGTCTCTTGAGAAGAAAGAAGAATTATAATGAAAAAAAGAGATCTTAACACAGTATACAACAACCTATCAAATGATTGAGAGGGGTATCCTTTGTTGATACAAAATCTGAAGCAAATTTTGGATCTCACTATGAAACTATTAGTTGTTATAGCAGGTTACATTGAGCTTTGGCTTGGTGAGTTTCTATTTGAATAGAACAATACACTATCTGAAGTTGTTATTTGTATAATAATCTTATAGTAGTTTATAAAATAAATAAAAGCAGAATCACTTAATATAAAAATAAAAAAATAAAATAAAATAAAATAATTTAAAATAAAATAAAATAATTTAAAATAAAATAAAACATTTATTTTTACTTTATACTATTACCTTAAGACAGAGAACCTGAACTGATAAATCATAAAAATAATTACATCATAGTGCTAAAAAACTTTCTCTAGAAAAGAGAAGAACAGAACCATTTTTCAGAAAACAAAACTCCGGTGGGACCATCAGAGTGATGGTCATTAATTGTGGTATAGAATTTATTATGAGTTTAATTAGTAGTGGTTAAAAAAGGCAGTTATCAATATAGTGCCATTCTTGCGAGTGGTCAAAGATCAGCAAATAATCGGCAGAGAACCGTTTGGAGAACCATACGCTGATTGGCTGGATTTTAGAAAAACCCAGCAGATTTTAAATAGTACAGCCAATCAGCGTACGGTTCTCCAAAATTTAATTAGGGAACTTTTTTGAAAAGCAAACTCCGGACGATCTTTTTTTCTGAAAAAATACTGGCAAAATTTCCAGTAGAACGAAAATGCATTTTGTATTAAAATCAATCATTTATTTGTGGACATTGTACCTTTTTTTTTAAGTGAAATTTTGTTAAATTCAGATTTTACGTTTTTTTGAAAATTACCAGTAAAATTTCTGGTATTCTATGTGAAAAATTGTTAATCTATTCCAAATTCGTAAAATACAAATTTGGAATAACAATGAGTCCTTTTGATTTCCAAATTCGTAAAATACGAATATGGTAGTTCATTGTTTCAATAAACTACCATATTCATAAAATCTGAATTTAGAAAATTAATAATTAAAATTACGAAAAAATTTTATGAATTTTGAAAGAAAAAAACGAAGAAATTTGTTTAAAAATATGAAAAAAGTGTATATTTTTTCTTGAAGAATATTATAAATAATGCATTCTAAGTTCTTTCTTTAATCTTTAAAATGTCTTTTTCATCTTTTTCAACCACTTCTCAGATTTATGTTAATTTCGTCACTTACGATTTTAATCGTCAAGATTTTGATTAATTAATTCAAATGTATTTTGAAGATGAAACAACTTGTCCTTTTACACATATTGTTTATCAATATGAATGAAATTATAATGTTTCTCAAGAACGAGATTGTCATATACAAGGATTTTTACGTTTAAAGAAAAAAACTAAATTTGGTCATTATAAACCGTCAATTGATGAAAAAAAGAATAAAATAAATGGTATAAAAGGTTTTCTAAAGATTGATAAAATACATTTTGAACCAGTTGAGAGTGAGCCTGACTCTATACGCTATTGTAAAAAAACTTATAATAAATGTTCTATTCATAATCGAAAAGAAGTTGAACATGACGTAGAACATTTTTCTGAATACGAATTTATTAGAAATACAATATCAACTTCCAATAAAAAATGAGTAATAAATTGTCGATGTAGCTATGAAGATTTAAATGATTTTTCAGAATGTAAATGGTGTACTTTGGAATGTTGTTCTCAACGTACATTGGCTAGATATGATGAAAATTTGGGGCCAAACGAATATTCGATTCAAGAAAATAAAAGGATTCGAAATAAGACAGAAAAGAATCAATCTCAAGAACAACTATTGAAAGATGTGCAAGAATGTATAGATGATATTCTTGTTAAAAAAATATCAAAAGAAGAAGCGATTGTTAAATATGCTGAGAAAAATCCACAATGGATCACTCGGAATCCAAATAATATTGCTATTATTTGTAATGCTCGTGATAAGCTACTTCAAAAAAAGAAAGATTCTATCAAACGCTGTTGGCGCCTGGTAGTTTTTTATATTTATAGTCCTGGTGAATCTGGAAAGACTGGACTTATTAGCGAATTGTTTGATGGTGAATATTTTGAAAAGCATAAAAAACAAAATAGTGGATCAAATTATTGGAATGGATATGATAGACAAGAGATAGTTTTTTTCGACGAATTTTACACAAAAATTGATTGGTCAGATATGGTGAATGTGTTAAATGATACTATGTGTTTTGTAGAAATTAAATATGGAACATTTAGTGCATCGTTTAAAGCGAAATATGTGTTTATGACCAGTACAAAACCACCAGAAGAAGTGTATAATTTTGGTCAACGTATTGGGGAGGATAATAATAAACGTGATTTTGGTCAATTTTATCGTCATCTTGATTTTATTATCGAATTTAATGGAAAATAGGACGATAATATCGATAATCGTATAACGCAACTCATTTTTCACAAGGGTTCTGAATCTGATTTTCGAAATATAAACTGGTTGGTAAAATTTCGTAGACGTGCTTTAACAGATGAAGAATTACGAAAGAAATTCTATTATTATCTAATGGGTTTCCTGGTATAATTTATAAAAAAGATGAGCAGATGTATTGAAATCGGCAATTTTCCGAATTTAAGAAAAGATATTTGCTCGACTATCCTAAATTTAGACAACTTGATAAATATCGTTTAGAATATGAACAAGAATCTTTACAAAGTTCTCAAAATAAATCCAATCTGCAAATAGGTTTATCATCATCTACAAATCAAATCGAAATAGAAATTTTATCAAAAGATCTCCAAACATCTGAATCCAATTTACAAATAGGATTATCATCATCTACCAATCAAATTATAGAACCTGAAATAGAAATTTTATCAGAAGATCCTCAAACATCTGACATTGATTCTGAGGATAGTAATTATTCTCAGAAACGAAAAAAACAACAAAAAATCAATCGAAATAAGAAAATAAATTTGAAACTTTGCATTTTTCCGATTAGAATTAAATATTTTTATTTGTAAATATATTATAATATTTAAAAAAGTATAAATAAACTCGATTGGGATTAAATATATTTTATTTATAAATAACAAAATAAATAATATAAATCATCAAGAAAAATGTGAATTTGTCAAATCTTTAAAAAAAATTTGATGAATAAAAAAAGTTAATATTATCAAAATGTTCTTGCAAAAAGTATTATCTAAAGTCGAATCGATAAAATTATAACCAATATCGTTATTAAAATCTTCATTTGATACTTCATTATTTTCATCCCTTTTAAAAATAAAATTTTCTTCTTCATTTTCATAATCGGAAATTTTTTTTGGTGATAAAATTATAACCAATATTGTTATTAAAATATGTTGTAAAATCTTTATTCGATATTTCATTATTTTCATTCCTTTTAAAAATAAAATTTTCTTCTTCATTTTCATATTCGGAAATTTCTTTGAAGTTTTCATTATTGTTATCAATTTCATCCTCAGAAATTTCTTCGGAGTTTTCATTACTGTTAGTAATTTCATCTGAATCTTCTTCTGAAATTTCGATTATTTTATCTATAAAATCGTTAATGATTTCAATCTTTTCGACAATTGGTTTATTTTAAATAGATTTTTTAAAATTGTATTCTTCTTCTTTAAGCTGTGAAATCCATAGTTTTCAATAATCACGCCTTTACACCATAAGGCCCATGATTCGATTTCTTTTTTTTTTTTTTTTTTTTTTTTTTTTTTTTTTTTTTTTTTTTTTTTTTTTTTTTTTTTTTTTTTTTTTTTT